AGTGCCTACGTTCGGCTGCAAGATGGCCACCACTACTCTAACAAGAAGTCTTCAAATGCAACGGAAATTGTCTGTTCCTCGTTTGGGTTGATAACCACTCTGCTTTGCCATTCTTCGTCAGAAAGCTCTGAGTTAATTTCGCAGCTGAGAGATTTGCTGAACACAGTAGATCTCAGTAAAATGTCTGTTGACAAAGAAAACAAAAGCAAACAAAGAATGACCATGTGCTTCATGGCGCTTGGAAATGCTAACGACACCAACCAACAAGACGTCATCATCTGTGGCCATGACCCCCAAACAGTGGAAACTTGCAAAGAGCTGAAGAAAAGAATGTTTCCCCAAATCTAAAGAAGATCAGGAAAAGGGAAGATTTGAATACTCCAGAAAAGGTGCTGTTGATGAACCAGCGAAGCAGTCGCATTATCAAGGACGTGCATGACGTGTGCGAAAGAAACAGGGAAAGTTTGGTAATGGTGCTTTCAAACATGTGTGTATTTGGTGACCCAACTTGCAACTTGCTTGAACTCTCTACTACCTTCTGGCTAGAATACGCTTGTGGTTGTATGTGCATTTAACTTAAATAACACCATGACAGATTTTTGTAAGCCTCACTCAGTTGCAACATAACAATATCACCAGGTCATGTATCCACTCTGAGATCTAAGTGGATTGATATCAATATCCCTAATTTGACAGAGATAACCTCAAGATTCTTCTTGAGGATATCAACCACCAGAAGAAAATATTGAAGGAACAAGGAATAACAGTTGATGGTAGACATTACACCATTGAATTTCTTGGTAAGAATCAGTATTAGTCTTGGAATTTGCTTTAAAGGTCGACTTCTTACTCGTGATACTTTTTGTGTTCTGACTAGAACTAGATAGAAGCAATAGTCAAACTTTAGTAAATTAAGAGTAGTAAAACATGTTCAATATTAAACTGCAGCAGCAAGAACTAAAACCTGGAATTTATTATTATTATAGGTCAGTAATTGATGTGACTACCCTTTTCTTTAGATGCATCGGAGATTAATTTTCCGAAAAGTTTAGTATGTTAACTTTTGCTTTCCCATTTCTGTTAACGAACTTAGTTGTACTGGACTACAAGACCTTGGTGCTTCTTTTGGTGAAGAACACAAATGCTGCATTCATGTTAGTGGTAGAGGTGTTAGTGTCGAGTTCAACCAGTGAAGATGTGCGAAAAGTGATTGTGGCTATGCCTTCTAATAAAGCTCCAGGCTATGACAGAATTCCAGTATTTGTGATCAAGGACTGTTTACCGTATATATTACCAACTCTAACTGCATTGATAAACTCGGATAAAGTCGGAAGTAGTGCCACATCTTAAAGATGGTGATCACAAGATTCCTAGTAACAATCGCCCTATTTCATTATTGCCTGTACTTTCTAAAGTGACTTAAAAGATCGCCCTGAATTAGTTCACTGATTATTTGACTCAACAAGGCAACCTCACCTGTCATCAAAGCGGAAACCGTAAACACCATTCTACTGAAACACTGAGTTTGCTTGTCACCAGTCATATATATAAAGTGATGGATAAAAAGGAGATCACGGCTATGGTCCTAATCAACTTGAGCAAGGCTTTTGACAGCATATGTCATAGAACTCTCCTCACCAAGCTGA